TTCACGCTTGGAATTGGAATACTTTCAAAAACATTGCAGACAAGTGGGGTAATTTATTAGCAATCGACGAAAGCTGTCAATCACCATCATCTTTTGATCGGACAAAAATTCAAATCCTCACAAAGGCAAATTTGAGAATTGACGAGTCGTTGGAGTTGAAGGTTGGTGCTAACTCATTCAAAATCATGGTGCATGAAATTGAGCCTTCCTTCAAACCAAATTTTTGGGTCCCCGACAAAGTCGATAACCATTAGATCTCTTTTCTTCAATTGGGGATTTGATTTTCTTTTTTTTTATATAGGAATTGAAAACCTCGTTAAAAACCCCCTTCTTGATTAAAGGAGCTTGTAGAGAAGCTCCTTAATCAGAGGAAGGAGGAAAAGAGTGCCTTAAGATTTCATTAAACATAAGAAATTACAAAAGATACAATCCTAGAGCCACCCCCAACATAGACAAAACACCAAAAACAACCGAATACAACCTTCAACCACAACACTAACAACCTAATCATCTCAGCTACAACAACAACTTTCATATGACTAACCAGACTAAAAGCTAAACTTGGCCCGAAATACAACATAACACAATACAACTATAATAAAGGCCAAAAATACCAGCTGACACAATCCATAGAAGCCAAATTCAAACACCAAAGCCATGAGCTTCCACACGATAAGAGTTGAACAAAACAAACTTCGAAAAAACTTTATATGCCCTTCTGCCACTATTGCTCGACTTCATATCGAAGACCCTCCAAACCTCTAACTCCCTAGTCAAAAATCATATTCTAGTCCCCTAAAAACTATTCAGTACTTAATGATTCTGTCAATACTTCCACTTCTATAATGTTCTGAAATAAAAAACACTTGTGAGCCTTTAGACTCAAACCCAAATCATTCCCGATCTGTAAGGAATCTTTCGCTTCCTTCTTTTGAGACTGCCACCTTGCTCGAAAACCAGAATCATATAGGAATCTACCTTCAAGTTCAGGTCATTCATCCTCGCGTTGCACCTGGCTCTGGTAATTCTTGCTATGGCAGTCTTGGAGAGAGCTGAAATTATTGTTTTTCCCCTTCTTTGCTCTCCGGAATTTGATTTTCTTTAATGGTTGCAGGTGTTGGTTTTCTTTTGTGTTTTGTTCTTTTGCGCTGCTTTGTTCCTTTTTGCTGGAGGTGTAAATTAGAAACAGGATAATTGTCGATGGGATTTTCTGGTTGAGGAAGTGAGAGTTTTAGGTGTTTCTGGTTTGTTGTAATGGTGTACTTCTCCATTGGAGAATATTCGGTGTTTCCATATGTATTCGATACTATTATTAATAAATTATAAGGTACTCTTTTCTTTCTTCCAATGTTCGTTAACATACTTCTTAGTATGTGGACGAATACAACGGGAGTTTTTAATGAGGCCACCAACTTCTATCAAAAAAAATTGAGGGATCAATTAGAATGTGTTGAAGTTTGGGGACCAATTTAGAATTTGGGGATGAGTAATGCAATTCACCCAAGTTATTTTGACTAAACATATCATGTATTTTAAAAGGTCCTCCTTACAATTTGATAAATAATTGTTCGAATATTTCTATGAAATAATGATGAGAATGATGAAGCATCAACAAGAAGTTCATGAAACCAATGTAAAATATGAGGGTAGAATCATCAATCACAGTTGAGTGACTTCCACAGATGATATGATTGAATATATTTAAAGAATATTTCATTAACTATATCTTCTCTACCTTTAGAAAGAATAAGCACTAAATCACAATTTCAAACAAAAAGGGGATGGATAGCAAATTGCTTCAAAAATGAGCCAAAAGCAATACATAATTTATGTGCAATAAATATGAATCACCCATCAAGATGAATAAGAACTACGCAATAAGAAGGCATCAGTACTACTGCAATGTATACCTCCAACAAAAACTGCATCCCGCCATCCACAAAGTAATACGGTGAGTTTGTTAGCAAGAAAACTTTCTTCCCCTTTTCCTTTAACATCCTAAGAAAGTGTAATAACTGGCCCTGAAACATACACCAAAATTAGCATTCCCAGGAGGAATGAACAGATTTCACACGACACACCAAACTTTACAAAAGTCTTTCTTTTAAACAAAAAGGCACTCAAACTTGAACAGAACTAAAACATAAATAGTTAGAACTTACATTTTTTACTACATAAATAGTTAGAACTTACATTTTTTACTAGATATCGACGAGGATCAGAAAGAATTCCTCTATGCATCAAACCACTTTGATGAACATGCTGAATTGCACGATTGACATCTTCATATATATAGCAGGCATCGAATTCTAGTTTAGCATCGACGAAATATTGCACAATATCAGCAATGAGACATGCCTAAGAAGATCATGAAAGGAAAAAAATCAGGAACTTAAAAATAGAACAAAAATATGCACTCATCATAAAAACAAATAGTCCAAGAATGGGCTAACAAAATTATAAAACCCGCTAATGCAATTTAACAAGCCTAAAATATGCACCATCCATATCAGTGTCTACAAGTGGATTTGCAAATTGACAGGAAATTTTGACATTTATTAGATATATTGAAAAGAGAACTTGTTCGATTACTTCATCAGGATTTCAGCCAAACAACACTATCTGACTATAATGCTCTGACAAACACTAATTAAATGCGACTGACAACTTTGAAAGCCTACATCTTTTATTATTTAGCCATACATGTACAACATTGTTATACATATAAACAATGCAATCACTGAAACTGACCTCACTAAAGCAGAAAAAGTCCATCAAGCCCACAAGACGGCGTGCCTGGTCACGGCCAATATGTCTTGTGCCATATATCTCTTCTATTTCTTTCTCACTAAGCTGCATTATAAGTTGCAAAATGAGAAGCAGGATAGTTCATATAGATATGTAGAAATTTCCCAACAAATGCACATTATACAAACTGATAAGAAGCCTCAGGCTATCGCTCTTGGTCATTAATAAAAATGACTAGTGTTGTTACAAGTTTTAAGAAACTTTAGAGTCACATCTTACCAGGTGTCAAAACCACTCATGTCAAACATGGAAACTTTTCTCTAATATTTTCCTCTCTCCCTTTATTGCCAATCATACTCCACTACTTTATCTTGGTAATAAATAACTCATAACAATCATCAATGCATTGCACAATAAGCAGAACAGCCATGTCACTGGAAATAATTAATAGTACCTGGCGATGACCATAGAAGCATCCCTCTGGCTCTATGGAACCAAAAAAATCCAACTTCAAGAGACATCCATGCTTCCTATCATAGTACAATCCTCTAATGGGAAAGGATGGGTCATATTTAAAACTCATACAAACCTCTGGATACTTAAACTGCAAGAAACCGACAGATAACGATTTGCCAATACCAACAATAAGCCACACCGCAAAAACATCAATTACATAGCTGCATTATAATATCACTTAAATGCTAACCTCATTGACCATATGCTCCTTTGCGAGATCATATATCAAACTTTGCAAGTTCGCAGAGTAATGTACCAATGTAAAATCATAATCAAATCCGTATACTTGAATAAGATCCAGTCTAATACCCCTATTCACATATATACCTACATCAACATTCAACACCAAAAAGATCATTTTGAATGCTATAGGCTTATATACAGTATTCGCAAATCTGCTAAAATAGATTCAAATTAAACAAAAGGGAGCAGAACATAATTGAACCTTCAGGATTCATCTTGGGCATAGCCTTGAGTGCTTCTGGAATCTCAAGGAATCTCTGTTTGGCAGCATCAAACTCCCTCCGTATCTTGTCAATGTCATCATTAACCTCCGAAGTGTCTGCTTCTGCACGCTTTATTTGTTCCTCAAACTTGGATACTGTTTGCTTGTAGCAACGAACATTTGCGCCAAATCCTTTTTTTTTTTTGCAAGAACAATAATAAAAATCTCAAATAATCAACAACTCGCTATTTGAAAGATTTAAAAAAACAAAAACAGAAATATATAAAACTTGAAAGTCCAAATTTACAGAATTTTTTTAAAAGGAAAAAAATCAATCCGTGAACACAAACTAAAAGAGAAGGGGAGAAACCTATGTGAACTCCAGAAGAAGAAAATAACGCTCTCTGCAAGATACATGGAAAGTTAATCATTATTGCTATTAGTTTTATAAATATGAAAACAGATTCATAGACAGAGAGAGAGAGAGAGAGAGAGAGAGAGAGAGAGAGAGAGAGAGAGAGAGGAACATACGTTGATAGAAGAGCAAAGAGGAAGAAGCCTGCGAAAGCAAGCCATGAAAGTGAAGGAACGGAACTCAACTGAGCTTACGACAAGATTGGAAAATGGAAAATAGCAGATTTATTATTTTTCTGTTGAATTTCAGTGGTATAAAGAAAAATACGGGAAAATTGAACACGGTGAAGGAGCATTCCAGTTCCCAACTCCAAAGCCGCCTCTTCCGGTTTGCTCTTATTTGGTTTAGTAAATAGTTCAGTATTCTCGTCTATTAGTAATTCCTGAGCCCAAAAGAAATACAAAATTTGATTCAAATATGTCCACCTAGTACTTACATGTAAGTATGCGTATTTAGTTCATATTTATTTTGATTTAAGTTCAAATATATGATTAATTTATTTATATCTTATAATAATTAAGTTTTTAATTATTAATATATTACAAAGCCCAACTGAAATTGTTGAATATATTACAAATCTCGATCCTTGGATGATTATATTCAACAAAAATATATACCATGAATAAAACAATTAATAGATTAACAATATATGATTTTATATATCACCAAAGAATCAAATGATAATATATCATTAATTATAAATTAAAATAATATTTAAAACAATTATGGTGACTTGTCATCATCTATTTTATTATTATATACCATGATGATTCAAATATTAATCATTTAGTTTTTATATTATTTATATGCTTGGAAATAGTTAACAAATTGTCTAATTATTAATGTTTATTAATACACCTCAAGGACCTTGCAAATATAATGTTGTTTTTAACGGAGGAAAGTCAAAACCATAATGCTTTGAGTAACTGTCTCACACTTGGACCAGAGTGCAGGGCATCTGATGTTCTTGAGCACTATACAACTCCTGTTCTGCTCTTTGTAACTTTCCCATTTGGCAGACAGGTGATTCAAAACACCCAAATAAAAAGCATAAAACAGTAAAACTGACATTTACATTCAAACCCCATAAACCATATAAACTTGTTTTGATCATTATCTTGGACCGGAGAGTTCCATGGCATAGTAGTCCAAAGAATACTCATCATCTTCATCCTCATCCACGCCTGTGCCCAGCATGTTGCCATCATGTTTCGATCCCATGGAAGGGTTTGGCATGCTTTTGCTACTGAAGTTCATGGTGGGATTACTATGATTATGCGATGCTGCCCATTTCTCAGCAAGTCCGTCACCTTCCAGCATCCGGACAACTTCTGACATTTTAGGCCGGTGGGCCGGAAGGTATTGAGTGCATAGTAAAGCCACTTGGAGCATCTCTCCTACTTCAATCCTGTCATAGTTGCTCCCTAGCTCTCTGTCCTCTAATACTTCCACTTTCTTTTCTTGCTGAATTTTCTTCACCTGTCGCAACAAATTCCATCAGTTTTCTCATGCATGAATGTATGTACGTGAAAAGGACTTATGATGGAAAGCAATAGCTTAGCTTGTTATATAGTGGTTAGGAAACTAACCCACTCAAGCATTGCTCCTTTCTGACCAACTGTTTTTCCAAACTCCAGAGCCCTCATTCCAGTAATAAGCTCTATCAAGAGAATGCCGAACCCGAACACGTCAGTTTTCTCCGAAGACTGGCCGGTTGAGAGGTACTCTGGTGCAATATGCCCAACAGTGCCACGGACAGCAGTGGTCACATGGGAATCAGCATGATCAAGGAGCTTTGCAAGGCCAAAATCACAAACAATGGCTTCACAGTAATCATCCAGAAGGATGTTAGCAGCCTTCACGTCCCTGTGAATTATCTTTGGGTCACATTGCTCATGTAGATACAGAAGCGCCCTCGCTGCTCCAATCGCAATCCTCTTCCTTGTATTCCAGTCTAGTGCTGGTCTTCCTGCCAAACCCCATTTCATTTACATTAAGAGATATGCTAAATTATACTCAAAAAACAACCTGCATATTCAATAACAACACTTTCTCTTTTAAAAATAGTTTAGGTCTGTGTGCAAACCTCTAAGCCTGGATGCAACACTGCCATTAGACATGTAAGGGTAGACAAGAAGTCTCTCATTAGAGGTAGCACAATATCCAATTAAACGAAGCAAATTACGGTGAACCGCCAAGCTGATCATCTCCAACTCAGTCCTGAATTGAGACTCCCCAAAACTTCCTGTCAAGTCTTTCAGCCGCTTCACCGCCACAAGAGTACTGTCTCCTAACTTCCCCTTGTAGACGTTGCCGAAACCTCCGGAGCCTAGCAAATTCTTGGAGTTGAAGTTGTTTGTAGCAAGCTGGAGTTCCCTGAAAGTGAAGATTCTGAGGTTACCTAGTTTTGCGATGCCCTCTTCTTGTTTATCTGCAACAAAAGTGTGACAACATTAAATCACATTGAATAAAAGAATAACTTTAACATCATTTTGTTGTTGTCACTGACCATTAATATTCAGAACTGTAAGCTTTCTGCGTTTCTTTCTGTGCCAAAGTAGAGCAAATGCTAGAAGAATGAGTGAGGCAAAGCTGAGGCTGATTCCTAGCGCAATTGCTAACTTCTTGGATTTTTGTTCCCCTGATACATACGACAAAAAAGCAATACACACACACACACACACACACCCATACATATACCATTAATCAATAGTGTGAAAATATTAGTGGAGAGTTACAAGGAGGTTTGAAGGGATTTACCATTTGAGGAGCCAAGGGATGAAAGAGTAACAGCATTGGCTGATCCAGAGCAAACTTCACTGGAGCTGCTTCCACAAATCAATGGATTTCCCATAATACTACCACAGATTTGTAAAAATGGAAAGTTCAGAAGTAAATCATTATAGTAACTGATAAGAAATAGTTGTAGCACAGAAATTATACTTGAAAGTTTTGGTAGGGAACTGGGGTACAGGTCCTGTGAGATTGTTAAAAGACATGTCCCTGAAACACCAAGAATCAGGCTTTAAAATAGATACACGGTACAGGGATAAGAAAGAGATTGGGAAAAAGGAAAGAAATTCAAACTCACAAGAAATAAAGTTGAGGGGTTTTTGCCAAAGATGAAGGAAATGGCCCAGACAAACTATTGTTGTTCAGCCTCCTGCCCTCATTACAAGACAAATACAGTATCTCAGATTTCATAAACACTGTCACAGGACAAAGATATCACAAACAGAATTTGCAAAAAAATGAAACCACATAATTTCTATGTAAATTTTGTTACTATAATATAACACCCCCTCCATAAAGCAACCACCTTTTTTCTTTTTTCATCTTTACTTTTCTCAGCATCCAAACATGAAACAAAGAACTAATCGGTGAAATACTTACAGGTATTGCAAACTATTTAACTGTCCAAATGACCCTGGAATTGGACCGGAAAATAGGTTGTTAGAAAGATCCAAAGTCTGCAGTTTTAGAAGAGTCCCTAGCTGGGGTGGGATTTCACCAGATAAGTTATTGTTTTGCAACAACCTTGAAATTCAACCAGCAATTTCAAACATAAAACAAAACATCAGGATCAAATATACAAATAGGCTTTTTCGAATGAAACCAAACACAAGGAATACAAGATACTGGTCTTCTTCTTACACTTGGCGAAGATTGGTGAGATTTCCTATTGCCCCAGACAAAGTTCCTGATAAAGACTGGCTTGGAGCACCCCTGAAAGAAACAAATAACATTATATACAACCTAAATTTACAATGTTTTCAAAACAAGCGTGCATTTGAAAACAGTATACACACACAAAGAGAGGAACTGACAGGGCCGTAACAAGGTTTTCAGAAGAGCAAGTGATCATAGCCCAACTACAAGGATCGACAGAGTATTCATCCCAGTTGTTCAACGCCCCATGCGGATCATTCAGTTCTCTCCTTATACTTATCAATGCTTCCACTGTATTCCACCATGAAACAATACTTAAAAAAAAAACACTTCAACACAAGCCAATGAATTTCAGAAGTTTGTAATGCTTTCCTTTACCTTCATGGTTACGAGGCTCGTAAGACAAAGAAACGGCGGCAGAAGATAGAAAGAAGAAGAAGAAGAAAAGAGTGAAAATACTCATTTTCATGACTCAATGATAGTAATGGTAGTAAAAGAAGATCAATCTCTCTGGTTTTGGACTATAGGTTTTAACTTTGAAGACAAACCCAAAATGAAAAATGGAAACTTTATCTTTCATATGTCTGGCTCTTTCCTTTCTTGGGTTCTTAAAAGGAGCCCCTCACTCTTTTTCTCAGACTCCACACATCTTTTGAAAGAAACGACACTTTAATCATCTACTATCAAAGACCAAAGTCTCACTTTCTCTCTATATAACATGAAGGGAAATTCCAAAAACTAAAAAAACTCCATTTTTGTATGTAGCAGAAACCAAAAGAGACGTCATTTAAAAATCGTACCCATTGCTTTTCCTTTTTTAGCTTGGTTTTTTGACGCCGTCTATGTTTTGCTTTAGCAATAGCCTACTAGTGATAATCGCACCACATTCATCATTATGTGCATGCTTTTCATCTTCAAAAGAATTTATATTCCTCCCAACCCTGAAAACTATGTTTCACCCATGTTTATCTCAACTCTATATTAGTAATCATTAACACTCTCTCCTAAAGTCAAATCTTAATCAATTGATTTCTAAAATATACACATTTTTTAATTGAATTTATAGTTTTGATATTCCTGACATCTATTTACAGCAATTAAGTATATTATTAGACGTTTGTTAGGTATAGAAGCAAAAAGAATAAAGGGGGAAAGAAAAGTGGTGAATGATGGGTTCCATGTGGAAGAATAAAAAGAAAGTGGGGGGGGGGGATTGGGATTATAATTCTTTAGGGAATTGAGCTCTACTTGTTTAATAATTGGTCTCACACATGCCAAGTGGACTTGTCCATCTCATGCCATGAGATGAGAATGTTGTGTGTGTGGGCGCATATCATTCATTAGTATATAATTGGACCAAATAAGTGATTTCGATGGTAAAAAAATATTGATATTTCTTGAAATTTCAGATTTAATTATAAATATAATGTATGTGAACGTTTAACGTCGAATAATTAAAATTTATCTTTGAACATAACTCATTGCCTTACAAAACTAGAAAAATAATATGCATTGCTTTTTTGTCAACGCTGCTGCAATTTTGATGTACGTGAACTTAGTATCTATACTAATTATTTTTTATGATTTAATCCCTTATCTTTGTTGTCTCTAACAATTTAGTCTCTCAGCCTATTGCACTGTTTAGTCTCCCTAGGAACTGTTTTCAATTGAAAATTTGGATGAAATCTGACCGTCACATGGAGTCATAATTTCTTTTACAATCTGATCCACTGAAATTTATGTCTCTCACAATTGAGTCGTAGAGAACAGCACATCATATATGGTAATAAAGTTCATTTGATGGTTAAAATTGGTAATAGAGTAAATTAAACATTCTAATATATTTCTCTCCGTTTGGTTAATACTATTTAATTTTCAACATATTATCGGTAAAAGTAAAGTTTTATTTGTTTATATTTATTGTATATTTTATAAAAGTATTAACCATATAAATATATCATTTCAGTAACTTTATACGTATACTACGGCACGTACCATATAAATATATTTTTATGTATATATAACATGTCACCTAAAATATAAAACTTCTTTTTAGAAAAATCAATATCAGTTTATCCTTTTTTTTTCTTTCAAGTTGTCTCTATAGAATGGATCATTCAACAAAAGTCGTGAATCATATCCCTTACTCCATAAGATGCAAAAGCTTAGATAAATTATGCCAACAAATTGTTCAATAGTATATGGAACTTGAATGGGTGTGATGATAACTTTCGGTTGTAATTAGGAATGAACATACGTAGGACGATAATAGACATTTAAGGTATTACGGCAATTATCTACACAGAAGGATCTTAAGATAATTAATTTGATCAGATCATAGATTTTTTTATCATGAACTCAATCTCGTCTCAACCCCGACTCACCTTCACAAAATTAGCCCCGCTTAAAATCTAAATATAAAAAAAGATATTATAATATTAGATCATATTGAAACTCGTCAAATTTTGATAATTTAATCATAATTAATTGTAATTTATTTCTTTTAAAAAATCATTAATCGTTCCTTTCATGTCAGATATATTTTCTTTCTTTCTTTCTTTTTTTTTAAAAAGAATGATTTGAAGTTGTGATCCTTGAAGCGAATGGAGGTAGGTGTCCATTGCATATTATTGACCAAATTTCTTTATTTGTTTATTTAAATAATAATTAAGCATTTATTTGATTCATTGAGTTCCACTCAAAGTAACTTCATGATATTCTCTCGCAGTCATTCTGTTGTCAATCAACTCTTTAGTACATATTCTATGAGCTATTTGCCTCTTCTAATTGTCTCCTAATATTTTGACTGCAATAAGCATGGGGACTCAAATAACTTTTTTTTTTTCTTTTTTCCTGTCATTCACAAGTATATTTTTTTTAGTTTTAAAATATAATAAGTTATAAACCTTATTAAAGAAAAAAACACTTAATATTAAGTTCCAAACTCTAAATAATAGTAATTTCGTTCAAGACCGTATCCAACAATTCCTCATAAAATACTTAAAAGCAAAGATGGAACTTCATGATGACAAGGGGGGCTTTGGCCCTGTCAATTATTTTTTAAAGTATTAATTAATATTAGAAAAATATATATTTTTGAAAGAAAAATAAAGAAAGAAAAAATTACCAAATTCCCTCAACTAAAAGAATTATATTTATGAAAAAAATATTTTAATCTCTCAATATTAAATCCTTAATTCCCTCCTACTTAAAAGATCAGTCTCTTAAATGGATAGATTTGAATTATCCACTCATTCAACTTGCACACAAATTATGGATACTTTGATTGGATTTTATAGCCAAACGAAACAGGTACCAATTTTTCACAATTATCTTTTATCCAAATCATATGACTAAAGTACATGAATCTTAAATTCATATGACTAAATGAAATGCATAATGCAAACAAATACCCCTAACGTTTGACAGTATATGCAAATTGTCCCTATAATTTTTTTGGAACATTTGGATATCGAACTTTTATTTTTAGGTCAAAAATAACCCACACTGGATGAAAACTGTCAGTCAACTGACGCACAACGCCGGATGCTGACGTAGCGCGCACGCGTGGAGGAGAAAGTTAACGTGGACATTCAAGTTATTCAGATTGCTTCTCATTTTGCCACCAAACTAGGCTATTTGCTCAAGTAACTTATGAAACTGATTGTATTTAACATTCATTCTTTCGTCTGAATTTCATTTAAAAAACAAAACATGTGTTGCTATTCATAAACCATTTTTTCCTCAACTCTTTGTTAGATGTAAAACTCTCCAAATTCGAAAGCAAGAGAGATTTATAAAAAAAATTATGTTTTTAGATGGAGAATGCAATACCCCTAAATTTAGATTACAAAATCACGTTGAGATGTCAATTCCCCATCAATAATTCCAACAAAAAAATAATAATTTTGATCAAAACCCAGCTCACCAAACGAACAGGTCATTGTTGTTCTTGTGGTCTATCCTCTCTCCGCCCATCACTTCGGCCACCACCGCCTCCGGATGATTGTTCTTCCAAACCCCATACTACGCATCACCACAGGAGACTTAGGGCTCTTGCCCTTAGCAAATTCTTCGAGATGATGGAGAATGGACCAAGAATGATTTATGGTCTGCCATTAGATATCTCAGCCATGCCTCTAGATCTAATGAAATCCACCAGGTTCGTTCCTTTTCGCTCCATCTCTTTGTTTTTTCGAGTTATGCAATCCGTAAAGTCCATATTTTTACTAATTTTAGAATGTTGCTTTTGAGGATTAAATTGTGTATTTTTATGTTTAATGAAAATGGGACATGGTTTGGTCCCTGAGACAATAATGGAAAAAAAGTTCTGGTTGAAGAAAATACACCGAATATAGTCTTTAAAGTTCGGTTTTTTTTACTAAATTGTTGTTTGGTCTCTGTGAAAGGGATGGGAAATGAGAAGTTTGGGTTTAAAAATTGAAGGGAAAATGCATAGAATACAATTCTTAAAGTTCAGTTTTAGTGATGTAAAAATTATTATGATGCTTTAATTGAACTAAATGAAAATGACACTCTGTTTGGTCAGTGAGAAAGGGATGAAAATGAGAAGTTCTAAGTTGGAAAATAGGTAGGAAAATATAGTGAAAATAGAACATGGAATGTTTTCAATTTTCCAATTTGATTACTCTGAAATTTTATAAGTTATATATTTGTGGGCAGGTTTTTCATGTGGAATAACATAAAGAAATCAAGAATCAATAGACTGAACTATGAAAAGATAATAGGATTGTTATGTGAAGAGGGAATGGCTGAAGAAGCAATCACGGCACCACGTCAAATGGATTATTGATCTTGGACCTTCTTCGAAAATTTACAACTCGATATTCCATGTTTATTCCAAGAATGGGAAGTTTGATCATGATGTGTTATTTCTCAATGAGTTGAAAGAAACAGGTTCGAAACCCAGAACCGACACCTAAATGGACTCATCGAAGCATATGGAAAATATAAGATGTTTTGTTTTTTTAAATGAAATTCATACGAAAGAATGAATTTTAAATTCAATCTGTTTCATAAGTTGCTTGAGCAAATAGCCTAGTTTGGTGGCAAAACGAGAAGCATACACCCAATAGACCTAGGTTTGAGTCCCCCTTCATGCATTTCGCCATTTTAACTTTGCACCAATCAGAGAGTGACACATGTCACTCTCTGATTGGTTCGAATTAATAATATAAAAATATAAATAATAATTTTAAAAAAATGACGTGACAGTGCCACTTCAACAATCTGGATGACTTAGATGTCCACATCAACTTTCTCCTCCACGCGTGCGTGCTACGTCATCTGGAGTTGATCGTCAATTGACTGACGATTTTCATCCATCGTGAGTATTTTTTGACCAAAAAATAAACGTTCATTACCCAAATGTTCAAAAAAAAATATAGAGTCAAGTTTGCATATACTGTCAAACGTTAGAGGTATTTATTTGCATTATGCCCTAAAAGAAAATATGTATTATATTTTTAAGGCCACGGGTTTATGTTTAAAACTAAAATGCATAAATAATAATTAACTGTATTAAAATTAATCGATGTATTTATCCAAGGCAGGGTACAAAATAGATGTATGGGAAAGGAATGACGGTGATTGGCCTGAATGGAAATGATTTGGAATTTGTACGTAGGAAAGTGGAGTTCATCATGATGCATGGCATGGGGAGGTCGAGATGTGGGAGTTTGGGCTTAGGCCCACACCGATGGCACTAACGACATGATGTTGATACTTCCATCGAGTGGGTATATCATTCAAGTCCAGTGTTATTGGCCTTTGGCTGCAC